CTTTGAATATTTATGCCGTAATACTGGTGTTCATTGTAAATAGTTATGCTTGAAACATTGCCAGTAATATTGGAACGTTTGCCATCTGTCTAACAAATTCCACAAGACATTTTACGAAGTGTTGGTTCTATGGTAAACCACAAACGATAGCTGTCATACTGTAACATTGCCTTGAACACAAATGATTTCGTGGGATATCCACTTCGAAAAACTGAAAGGGAGTCCTTTTCTGTCTAATTTACCAATTTAATGTTTAATGGTTTTATTGGTGTCATTCCCCTGTTTGTTTCCGTTGACTTCTAACTGGACACATATTCGTTGTTCCTGTGATTCATTTTATTGCAACAGTGAGAAAGTATCTCGGCTACTCTGTGAAAGTCAAGATACATATAGCACGTAGGACACTAGGACAGATGTCGATCTACGCATTTCAAAGACACAGGAACAATCATTATAAATATGTATAGTCCGAGTCTAGATCTATCCGTCCGTCTCGCCGTCAGTCTGTCATTCTGTCTGTCAGGCTGTCTGTGTGTCTGTCAATCCGTCCGTCCGTCCGTCTGTGTGTCTGTGTCTATTGAGGCTCACAGTACAATAAAGATTTGAACCGCTAAAACATTACACTACATATAAAACAGAGTCAAACTTTAATGAAATGTTTTTTCTCGACACTGATAATATGCGCCTTGTGGAAAGATTTATCTCATGTAACATAAGAATATAAGCATTTTGTCCCTGTTTATCAATAATCGATCTCTCTACTGCTTCAAGAACCTGATTGGTTATTATTACTAGTGTCACGTTACAATTACCGGTATTTTTGAGTCGGACCTGCATGTCTTTCTTCAATGGAGATTGATACCAAATGATAAATTATCCATGTGTGTGAGCAGTCAGGTGGCCATGTCATGTACATTATCATATATATCATGGACAAGTCGGCTTCCGATAAAAAATGAATGTCAAAACAGATCTGAATTACATCAACATAGCACGGACTGGTATAAGACAGATGTCGTAGAATTACGGATCTTGACAACGCTGCTGAAATAATATACAAGGCCGTTATAGTAGATAAAATGACACTTCTATGACCCATGGAATATCTCATACTGATAGTTGCCAATTCCAAATCTACTAATCTGTTGTCCGCGACCTTACCGGGGACGTTCTATACAGGTATTGACCTAATTATACGGATTTAAATGTCGGTGGATCTGATATCCGAAACTTGGCACTATGTACAACGTGTGGATTACCACCCAACAAAGTCATTACCGAATCAGTATTTTTACTCTAAATGGATGGTTTCGGTGTTTAAAGAAATTCCTTACAATGCGTTGGCTACTACAGATAAGATTTTTATGACTCTTTAAAACTGCACAATGATGTTCAATTATTGTGCTGTAAAATTAAGTTTTTAATGAAGTTGGTCCTACCCCCATATGTGTTATCTGATTACCGTGCAGTATCTATCTACCATGTTACCTTACGTAATGATATTTAGCCGATTCCAAAGACGGAGCATAATAGAAATTTACAAAGTACGGCAACTCATAGAGGTATGATAAAAATTAACTAAGTTACCAAAATAAAAGACAGCTCATTCACACCTTTTGCTGAGGGATCATGTCTTAAAGGGACGAGACTTTTCTATTGATGTGTCACCCTGTTTGAGACTGTTGTGCCACCCTATTCATACCTGATGTGACACCCTATTTATACCTGATGTGACTCCCTATTTACACCTGATGTGACACCCTATTCATACCTGATGTGACACACTATTTATACCTGATGTGACTCCCTAATTATACCTGATGTGACACCCTATTTATACCTGATGTAACACCCTATTTATACCTGATGTGACACCCTAATTATACCTGATGTGACACCCTATTTATACCTGATGTGACACCCTAATTATACCTAATGTAACACCCTATTTATACCTGATGTAACACCCTCTTTATACCTAATGTAACACCCTATATTTACCTGATGTGACACCCTAATTATACCTGATGTAACACCCTATTTATACCTGATGTGACTCCCTATTTATACCTAATGTAACAACCAATTTATACCTGATGTGACACAATATTTATACCTGATGTAACACCCTATTTATACCTGATGTGACACCCTATTTATACCTGATGTGACACTATTTATACCTGATGTGACACCCTAATTATACCTGATGTGACACCCTAATTATACCTGATGTAACACCCTATTTATACCTGATGTGACTCCCTATTTATACCTGATGTAACAACCAATTTATACCTGATGTGACACAATATTTATACCTGATGTGGCACCCTATTTATACCTGATGTGACACCCTATTTATACCTGATGTGACACCCTAATTATACCTGATGTGACACCCTAATTATACCTGATGTAACACCCTATTTATACCTGATGTGACACCCTATTTATACCTGAAGTAACACCCTATTTATACCTGATGTGACACTCTATTTATATCTGATGTGACACCCCATTCATACCTGATGTAACACCCTATTTATACCTGATGTGACACCCTATTTATACCTGATGTGACAACCTAATTATACCTGATGTGACACCCTATTTATACCTGATGTAACACCCTATTTATACCTGATGTGACACCCTATTTATACCTGATGTGACACTATTTATACCTGATGTAACACCCTATTATACCTGATGTGACACCCTATTTATACCTGAAGTAACAACCTAATTATACCTGATGTGACACCCTATTTATACCTGATGTGGCCCTATTTATACCTGATGTGACACCCTATTTTTACCTGATGTGACACCCTATTTATACCTGATGTGACATCCTATTTATACCTGATGTGACCCTATTTATACCTGATGTGACACCCTATTTATACCTGATGTAACACCCTATTTATACCTGATGTAACACCCTATTTATACCTGATGTGACACCCTATTTATACCTGATGTGACACTATTTATACCTGATGTAACACCCTATTCATACCTGATGTGACACCCTATTTATACCTGATGTAACACCCTATTTATACCTGATGTGACCCTATTTATACCTGATGTGACACCCTATTTATACCTGATGTGACACCCTATTTATACCTGATGTGACACTATTCATACCTGATGTGACACCCTAATTATACCTGATGTAACACCCTATTTATACCTGATGTAACACCCTATTTATACCTGATGTGACACCCTATTAATACCTGATGTAACACCCTATTTATACCTGATGTGACACCCTATTTATACCTGATGTGACACCCTATTTATACCTGATGTGACACCCTATTTATACCTGATGTGACACTATTTATACCTGATGTAACACCCTATTCATACCTGATGTGACACCCTAATTATACCTGATGTAACACCCTATTTATACCTGATGTGACACCCTATTTATACCTGATGTGACACCCTATTTATACCTGATGTGACACTATTTATACCTGATGTAACACCCTATTCATACCTGATGTGACACCCTAATTATACCTGATGTAACACACTATTTATACCTGATGTGACACCCCATTCATACCTGATGTGACACCCTATTTATACCTGATGTAACACCCTATTTATACCTGATGTAACACCCTATTTATACCTGATGTGACACCCTATTTATACCTGACATGACACCCTATTTATACCTGATGTAACAACCAATTTTGGGCTGATGTTGTACTATATTTGACTCGGTTTGACTACCCGGTTATCTTGGCTAGGTAAGACTACCCGTTGACATTGGCTCGGTTAGATTTCCCGGTACCACTTCCTCTACCACAACTTGGCCAATCCCTTTTCACATAGCATAAGTTCCGTTAATATTGACTCATTTCTATATTGATTTAAACATTTTTATTGACAGCGGTAAGATTGAAAACACATGATTTAGAAACTATTATGTAATATATTAACACGGTCCTGGGACTAAGTGTAAGTGTACTGGTAGACCCCCACTGCTTATTGACAAAGGCTGAATGATGGTAATATTCGGGACCATATTTCCCCAATTGTGATCGATTGAATTCAATTTGTTTACAAAAGTGTCAAGCATTTAAAAAAAAGGGATCAATTCGTCAGATTCACCGTAGGAGAGCCCCACCTTGACGGTTGTTTAACTATGTTCTCGGCATGTGTACACTATCACACTGTTTAGTCGTCTCATTTATTAGTCTAAAACAAAAGTTATCTAGGTCAATATTTTACACAGAAGGTCACACGCGCCGTAACATATGTAATAAGTCGAAAACTTATCCAAAATCTACTTATTTAATTAGTGATTTCGACATTTTCACACAATAATGTCAACCTTGACAAAATGGTTTACTGTTAACGATACGAAGCAGGGTGAAGGTGTTTGTACACTGTGCCTTTTGCCAATTCTATTTGTACCAAGATCTTTAAAAAAGATATTCTAAATGACATTAAAATGTGCCACATGATAGAAGTGTGGATGTGATTTTTTAAAACAATATTGCTTGTGTTATCAACTTTAAAAATCGGTACTGTAGCTTAAGCCTCTTAGCGAAACATACAGTAAGTGAAGTGTTAAGCTCAATAGGAGTATACTTCAAAATGATTATTAAATTCTTGATAAAACAGGATGTGAGCAAGTGTAATGATTATATCAAAAGTTTTACACTTTCATATGAGAAAAAAATTAACATAATAACTATCGCATAACTTCACGAGAGTTACTGATGTGTGAAAGGGCGGGTCTCACAATTTCACTATTAAATCGATCTGATTTCGATTACCATGTTTATTTCAGTAGTTTGAAAGGTCAGAGTTCCCGTCAACCGAAGCATGATATATGTTAAGCGTGAATGTTTCAAGTTTAAACATCTACATTTCAAATCAGTATGTGTATCAATTTTGAAGGAACGGTGTCAAAATTTACAGGTAAAAAACCTGAAAGTTAATCTATCACTTTATCTTACCTGTAAAGTGACGAAGTCTTTGGGTTGCTGATAGTCCAGTCCGAACTTACGGAGACGAAACTGTTCTCGCGTACAGCACATGTTCAGCACAGCATTGGGTTCGTTACTATACAAATGATACGGAACACGTGTTATTTCTGTTTAAATCCCACACAAAAATCAGATCGGCGGTTTAAACTGATACTTAATGTCGTTTGAACGAAGCTCGCTCATGTACAACTAATGGGAACGGAATAAGTTAAACGTATATGTACACATACGTACTATTTAATGTGCGTTAATGCATACAGTGTGTCAGGGGTCAGCGACAAGCCTCATTGGACGTTATTGAAAAGGCTGCGGCGTTAAGATCGCTACAAATACAACAGGCCTATGAAATCAACTCGTTGTTTGATCGAATTTCCTTAAAAGGTAGTGTTACACGCCCTCTTATCTTCATAATGGTAATTCTCTGTCATTAAAAAGCAAATAAATCACAGTATCTAATAGTTACAGTATTAATTAGTGTTTAACAGTGCGTGGACCGATCACGATCAGACTGAAAGTCGAAGCACGTTACCAATGTACACAATGCGGCGGTTTTGTGCATTTCTATTCATGAAAAGAGACAAACCTGCACAAGACGTCCCGAGAGAAGTAGAATCGAGGGGCTCTGGGGGTCACGAGTACATTTGATGGTGAGGGAACACTTCACATATGTCCGCCTGATGTGAGGACGAGTCTGCAATAAGACCAAGAGAATATCAGTACAACACTTCTATTTACAGGGACAACTTGGTATGAATACATCCATGGTGTGATTTCATATAATATGAGTTTCAAGTGATAGATAAATGGGAGGTTCTGTCGTGCCGTCCAATTTGTACTTCAAATTAAGGTTCAAGAGATCTAGGACGAAGGGTCGGTCACCCTCGTTTGTTTGAAGGGCGAGAGCTCGGGATGACATTCGTAATGAATAGCACGTGATGATATACATATGTATATCTATCATACATATACTGACTTAAACACTAAGGTCTACTTGACAAGCGCTGAAATAAGTAATATGGTACATACTATATGTGAGTAATTTAGGCCGACAATTGACTATCTCTTGGCTTCGATTGGTCAAGGATCGTACAGAGGACTTCGATTCATGGCGTATAGCGACCACAATGTAACTGATTCTCGAATGGTTTGTATCGACATTTAGTTCCTGACTCGATATAAATGTTGGCTGTCGGATTTCAGGATTTACCTACCGAGGTGTCTATGTATGAAGAACTTATATAAAAACTCCGAAAAAAGGTACCGTGGTTTACCATATAGCTAATATTAGCATCGCACAAGTATGCTCAGAAATTATCGCGATACGATTGGAACGGTTTATATATACAGCACGAAGTATTACACCGATAACACACATCTTTTAGACATTGAACACGTACCTTCTGTACTTCTCCAAGCGCACGTACATTTCGCGCGAGAAACAATGCGATAAAAAGTAAGTTAAGTGGTCTTAGGCCCGACACAGGAATGCAAGCGCCTTTCTTATCATTCAGATCATTCATATGTTATATCTGTTGGATTCTTGTGACGTCACATTTTCCCAGGATCATCAAACTTGTCACTACATCTACGTCAGAACGGTAGCTAATTATCTAATTATAGAATGTAACACAGTGCAGAAACAATGTATATTTAGAACCGTTTTTCTTCTAAACTTCAAACGCATCATCTTGTAAAAAGGAACAGACATATCGACAAGAGGGAGATGGGATAACTTACACTTCTAAATGTAATATTTTACACGTGCATTCAAGCAGCACATCATTGACTTTGATATTCTAAGTACAAGGGTCGAGATAAACTTGTTTACGGATCCGCTTCCGATTTCCGCATCACCAAATCACCTTTCTGCATCCGATCCGGACACCCAGGTTTACAGATCTCCATCATTGTACAAACATTATTTAATCCGCATCTCACGCGGGGGTCCTGTTACAGTGATTGCTACCATTTCACAAACATATACATGTGCCATCCGCAAAACTGAGGGACTTAGAATTAAATATACAAATATGGAATACCCATGTATCGTCTTGAATGCACAAGACAGTATTTTCAAATGCAAATAGTGTTTTTGAATGCTAATCATTTTGAATTCAAACTGCGTCTGTTTGGACGTCAACAATTCAATTCATGTAAATGATATGTCTGAACGCGGACTTGTATCAGTGATTTGAATACAGATGTGGGAAATTTTTGGAAAATTGCTTTGCTCATACTGACAAGGTAATGACTTGTCTTTTTCTGCCATAAAAGGATTACCTGTACATACTACCATTATGTGATGGATGTTACCTGATGCCCTTGACGTAACTTAAAACTCATTAAACAGAAGAAAACATACCGATGTATTCTGTGCTACAGATGTGAACAGCTCGCTATACATTTACAAATTGCGCCCAGAACACATACAGCGACTGATAATGATGTTTTACAACTACTCATTACTCGGCAAATCTAAATAAAAATTTTGATGCAAAATACCCACAAAAACATAAAACTGCTTTAAACCTATAACTTTCAAATCACGAAACTTTTATTTGAAACCAGTAATGATAAAAATGATACTAAAGCTCGTCAGATTCATCCTAGTCCAATCCATGTGAATTATTCCATATTAAATCCGTCCTAGCGTCATACTTCACACAGTACGTTTTCGTGTAGCTTTACATTACATTGTGAATTCCAAGGAAGTCGTTATTTAGTCATCGCAAACTTCAACTTTTCTATAAAATTCACAACAATATGACTCCCTCATATCTAACAGACCTTCTTCCCCATTAGTATCTTCATTAACTCAATACAATTTGAGAAACTCTGAAAATTATTTCATTCCTAATTTTTGTTTACAATCTACACTCCATTCTTTTATACCTTCTACGTTAAGGTCGTGGAATGATCTAGACACTATTATTAAAACTGCGCTCTCTTTTAAGATCTTCAAAGACCGTCTCTCTCAACAAAATGAAACATTTAATGCACCTGATTACTACCTAGTTGGAGATCGTAAGCTTAAAATTGTATTAACCAAACTCCGCCATAAATGCTGCCCTTAAAATGAAGATCTCTTCAACGTTAATCTAACCGACTCTCCTTCTTCTCATGTAGATATCCTTATGAAATTGTACATCATTTCTTCTTTACATGTGGCAGATTTAACGACCAACGTCTGGCCATGTTCAGAAACCTTCATAAATATTTACCTTTAAGTTTAGATGAATTATTATTTTGCCATGAATACTACTCAAGTGATGATAATAAGGATATATTTATATATGTCCAACAGCACATACTGAGTACTCGCCGTTTTAGATATATCACGTTCCATTTCCTTGTGCCTTTCTATGAAATCGCACAATTATTTCCTTCCAGGTGCGGTTAAATGTGAAATATAGCGTAAGATATATTTAAGATGTATTTTGTAAGAATGCATTTATTTAGCCATGAAATTTGAGTAGATCTCTCTCTCTCTCTCTCTCTCTCTCTCTCTCTCTCTCTCTCTCTCTCTCTCTCTCTCTCTCTCTTAATTAAAACTAATATGTATATAATTATTTTGTGCCATCTTGAAATGTGTATATGTAATTGTTTTTCTTCTTACGTAGAGGGCGTTATTAAAGATATTGTAACTTTTGCCCAATCCTTTTGCTTAACAGCAATAAAATATGTTTAAACTAAACACCGCCATTTAAAAAAGTCCTAGTGGCCGGTAAGGGGAAAAAAAGGAAATCTCGCCATTTTGACCTTGGGCTGACAGAAGGAGGGAATGAGATTATGACGGCGAGGGAGTAAGTGAGTGAAGTTGCGAGATGGCCCTAACCGGCCACCGTACAAAATACTACCATGAAAGAGTTTCTTCTGGAATTATTCACCGAGAATGACGATTACGTCAATACGTGTGACGTCAATGGTAAATTAAGCAACTTCGCACAAGAATATGAAACAACAGATATTTCGTGTAATGAACCAGTAATAAGTTTAGGAATTAACGGAATTTTGAAAGTATCAAAAAGCTATATATTTATGCTAACGCAACAATAAACTGCAGTACGTGCCGGGTAAGGGTGTGTATTACAAGCAGGGATACGTCAAGTGTTTTCAGAAGGAAACAGTACAGAAGATTGCTTCTTTATTGTCATCACAAATGTCTTCATTTTATTGATAAAATTCGCGAAAAATGTTTTATTTTCCATAGGAAAAAAATCACCACATAACAGAAACATTCTTTCAAAATTTTTTTATGTAAAATTGAAACTCAGGAGTGTCGTGTCATATACGTACATAAAAATGTAGAATCTACCATTTATATAAGGTAAACTGTGTGCGGAAATGTTATCACGGAAATAATACATACTGATTTAGATTATTATTTTTCAGATTAACGTTTTGAATCACTAAAAGTTTAAAAAGAACCCGTGCAAAGCACACCGTAATAGTTCTTAATCGGTACAATTAACTGATTTCAGATTTGGAAATCATCAACTGCCTTGTTTAGTTCTGAATCTCTATAACAAAACTTAAGTTTTTATTATCAGTCGTTTGAAAAAGAAAAAGCTTATTGAAGTTTGCATGTAAAATGACTGAGTCTAGATTTTAAATCGTGGATATATATTAACGTTGTACAGTATTGCCTATACAACACAACATTATGTATACGTGTGGACGGGTCTACGTCTACCGTGAGAAAATTGACACAATATTGATAATAGTGGTATACTTATATCATTAATGAAGGCAGTGTATATATATATATATAAGAGGGATAAAATCGCAGGTAATGTGGCACTTGTACGCAAGCATACGTGTATAACACAAGGCGCACGTATGCCGTAACGTGTGCTGGTGTATATAATGTACATTATATTGTATCAGCACTTTATGCATATCTATTGTTCTTAAAATTCGATATATTAAAATCATACTACATGAAATTCTACGTTTCTTTGGAAATATTAGAAATCTATAATTTGTTATATTTGATGAATAGAATAAAATCCTGACTTACCAAAATCTTTCACTGTATAAAATCTAATTCCACGTGTTTCCATACACCTGTAAGCCTTAACAACGACCACACACCTATATATAGCACCTGCTGTGTGACACCTGACATTTATGTTTCAACGTCTGTCATCCACGTTCTCTCTGTCATCAGTGTACCATCACACCGATGTCTCCGTGCATTTATACAAACGGGTTTGTCGCTTATTCTGTTCCGTGCATTTCTCTCCTCTCCTCCACGCAGGAGTCAGAAAATTAGACACAGATTAGCAACAAGTCTTGGCAGTTATACTATTACACATGCAACATTCGTACTTACTAATTATTGTTTGTGCACGATAGTATCAGTAACAAGACAGAAGTGTTATATAATCATTGATTGACTTACTACCTTGTGTATCGGTTTGATTGGTCTGTCATTATTTTGAAAATTCGGTCAAAATTATTTTTTATTGAATTATGTTATGTTATTCTTGTATCGTGTATAAAACTTCATTAAAATCACTTCATAGAACATGAACAAAATGGAGAGGAAAACGTCATATCGATACGTTTGATAAAATCAACAGAAATTAGCGAATTGTAACAAATAGGCTAACACCGATTGAGTTACCTCCCTTGATTATCAATTTTAGCGAGGTGTTGGAGTTAGCCGTCTTTTAATTAACCAATAAAATGGAAATGAATCACAGCTGATAAACGACTGCAAATAATGGTGCTCAGTGTGAAAATAAATCAACCGGAGTTTCATGATGAAGATCAATGAAAAGAAAAGCATAACCATTTGACTCTCATTTCGTCTGACTCACATCCACAACACAGTTAAGTCTGTGTCTTACCTCATTGTTAATATGACTCTCACATCCACAACACAGTTAAGTCTGTGTCTTACCTCATTGTTAATCTGACTCTCACATCCACAACACATTTAAGTTGTGTCTTAATAGTTAATCTGTCTCACATCCACAACACAGTTAAGTCTGTGTCTTACCTCATTGTTAATCTGACTCTCACATCCACAACACAGTTAAGTCTGTGTCTTACCTCATTGTTAATCTGACTCACACATCCACAACACAGTTAAGTCTGTGTCTTACCTCATAGTTAATCTGACTCTCACATCCACAACACAGTTAAGTCTGTGTCTTACCTCATTGTTAATCTGACTCTGACATCAACAACACAGTTAAGTCTGTGTCTTACCTCATTGTTAATCTGACTCACATCCACAACACAGTTAAGTCTGTGTCTTACCTCATTGTTAATCTGACTCTCACATCCACAACACAGTTAAGTCTGTGTCTTACCTCATTGTTAATCTGACTCTCACATCCACAACACAGTTAAGTCTGTGTCTTACCTCATAGTTAATCTGACTCTCACATCCACAACACAGTTAAGTCTGTGTCTTACCTCATAGTTAATCTGACTCTCACATCCACAACACAGTTAAGTCTGTGTCTTACCTCATTGTTAATATGACTCTCACATCCACAACACAGTTAAGTCTGTGCCTTACCTCATTGTTAATCTTACTCTCACATCCACAACACAGTTAAGTCTGTGTCTTACCTCATAGTTAATCTAACTCTCACATCCACAACACAGTCAAGTCTGTGTCTTACCTCATAGTTAATCTGACTCTCACATCCACAACACAGTTAAGTCTGTGTCTTACCTCATTGTTAATCTGTTCACATCCACAACACAGTTAAGTCTGTGTCTTACCTCATTGTTAATATGACTCACATCCACAACACAGTTAAGTCTGTGTCTTACCTCATAGTTAATCTAACTCTCACATCCACAACACAGTCAAGTCTGTGTCTTACCTCATAGTTAATCTGACTCTCACATCCACAACACAGTTAAGTCTGTGTCTTACCTCATTGTTAATCTGACTCTCACATCCACAACACAGTTAAGTCTGTGTCTTACCTCATTGTTAATCTGACTCTCACATCCACAACACAGTTAAGTCTGTGTCTTACCTCATAGTTAATCTGACTCTCACATCCACAACACAGTTAAGTCTGTGTCTTACCTCATAGTTAATCTGACTCTCACATCCACAACACAGTTAAGTCTGTGTCTTACCTCATTGTTAATCTGACTCTCACATCCACAACACAGTTAAGTCTGTGTCTTACCTCATTGTTAATCTGACTCTCACATCCACAACACAGTTAAGTCTGTGTCTTACCTCATAGTTAATCTGACTCTCACATCCACAACACAGTTAAGTCTGTGTCTTACCTCATAGTTAATCTGACTCTCACATCCACAACACAGTTAAGTCTGTGTCTTACCTCATTGTTAATATGACTCTCACATCCACAACACAGTTAAGTCTGTGCCTTACCTCATTGTTAATCTTACTCTCACATCCACAACACAGTTAAGTCTGTGTCTTACCTCATAGTTAATCTAACTCTCACATCCACAACACAGTCAAGTCTGTGTCTTACCTCATAGTTAATCTGACTCTCACATCCACAACACAGTTAAGTCTGTGTCTTACCTCATTGTTAATCTGACTCTCACATCCACAACACATTTAAGTCTGTGTCTTACCTCATAGTTAATCTGACTCTCACATCCACAACACAGTTAAGTCTGTGTCTTACCTCATTGTTAATCTGACTCTCACATCCACAACACAGTTAAGTCTGTGTCTTACCTCATTGTTAATCTGACTCTCACATCCACAACACAGTTAAGTCTGTGTCTTACCTCATAGTTAATCTGACTCTCACATCCACAACACAGTTAAGTCTGTGTCTTACCTCATAGTTAATCTGACTCTCACATCCACAACACAGTTAAGTCTGTGTCTTACCTCATTGTTAATCTGACTCTCACATCCACAACACAGTTAAGTCTGTGTCTTACCTCATAGTACAACTGACTTTCATGATCCACAACACAGTCAACTTTTTGTCTTACATCATATCATATCGGACTCTGACATCCACAACACAACCAAATTTGTGTCTTACATAACAATACATCTGACTCTCACATCTACAACCTAGCCACCTTGGTGTCGTACCTCACAACACAACTGACTCTCACATATACAACCTAGCCACCTTGGTGTCGTACCTCACAATACATCTGACTCTCACATCTACAACCTAGCCACCTTGGTGTCGTACCTCACAACACAACTGACTCTCACATCTACAACCTAGCCACCTTGGTGTCGTACCTCACAACACAACTGATTCTCACATCCACAACCTAGCCACCTTAGTGTCGTACCTCAAAATACAACTGATTCTCACATCCACAACCTAGCCACCTTAGTGTCGTACCTCAAAATACAACTGATTCTCACATCCACAACCTAGCCATCTTGGCGTCGCACCTAACAATACATCTGACTCTCACATCCACAACCTAGCCACCTTGGCGTCGTACCTAACAATACATCTGACTCTCACATCCACAACCTAGCCACCTTGGCGTCGTACCTAACAATACATCTGACTCTCACATCCACAACCTAGCCACCTTGGTGTCGTACCTCACAATACAACTGACTCTCACATATACAACTTAGCCACCTTGGTGTCGTACCTCACAATACATCTGACTCTCACATCCACAACTTAGCCACCTTGGTGTCGTACCTCACAATACAACTGACTCTCACATCCACAACCTAGCCACCTTAGTGTCGTACCTCATTGTGCATTTGACTATTATGATCACTTCCACAGTCTGCCTGTGTGTCATATCTATGTATCGTCAACGCGACATCTTAAAACTCTCAGTTTGTCGGTGTCACACTTTGAATGCTGGCGCGTATTTGTTTCTTATCAGATAAAGAAATATTGAAAACTATTAAAACATGGAGTCAATACACATCTTACAATAATATCATCATACGTCAGAGAGTATATGTGATTCCGTCTCTAGTACTCAACTGCTGAACTTAGATATCGGTCCCTCCCTAGTACACAAAAAGGAAAATGTAACCAGTTGTTCTCTACGTAAGCTAGATATCGGTCCCTCCCTAGTACACAAAAAGGAAAATGTAACCAGTGGTTCTCTACGTAAGCTAGACATCGTTCCCTCCCTAGTACACAAAAAGGAAAGTGTAACCAGTGGTTCTCTACGTAAGCTAGATACCGTTCCCTATCTAATACACAAAAAGGAAAGTGTTAACAGTTGTTCTTTGCGTAAGTTGGATATCGTTCCCTCCCTAGTGCACAAAAAGGAAAGTGTAACCAGTTTTTTCTACGTAAGCTAGATACCGTTCCCTCCCTAGCACACAAAAAGGACAGTGTTACCAGTTGTTCTCTACGTAAGCTAGATATCGTTCCCTCCCTAGTACACAAGATATCTGTTCTGAAGACCGTATCATGTACCTCACATATCTATCATGTTGTTTGCAATGTCATTATCTTCTCTCTTACCTCTACACACATTTTACGCTATTCCCGACACCACTAAACACATAGAATATATTCCTACCAGGAACTTGTTTTATTTGCAGTTATTATATGAATTTGAACCACTTTATTGACAAGCAGGATTCTGTCAAGTCATTTCCGTGTATTTATCGTTTCCTGATTTAACATGTTGATAGCAGCTATACGTCGATGTCAATAGTATATTTAGTCAAATCATGGATTTAATAATTAGAAAGAAAATTGCTTATTTCATATGACTGACGTAAAAGATTGCAATAATGATTGTTCTGTTGAAGAAATAAAAGATTCAAATCGGATATCCATGGTTTGTGAATTCTCTACAAATATAATTCAACGAAAGAATAAGAATTCCAACTGAATATGATTAAATTATTGTCTTTTTTTCCGATAGATTATATTACATCATCTACAAGAATGACGTCAAAGTTGACTCATATCCATATGAGTAATAACTATTTACCAAACAATCGATTTCAATTCTATTAGATTTTTCATTACATTCAGAGGTCTTCTCATCATACCATAAATATTCCACTTGGTCCGGAGAGAACGTTGTGCTAAGGTAAAAAACTGTTGTTAAAGTGTGTTAGATTGTTCCCAATGCTGACGTCAACGTCATGATTGTATCGTTTAACTGTTTCATGGCTCTTATATCACTTATATTAAGTACTTGATTCTCAAATTTCAAATATACTAAGAAAAGTGATAGTACTTTAGTATGTGTTTGTTCCATTTTTTCTAATGGTATATGCTGATAGAAGTGTTACGTACGT